AATACCCCTGATTCTGAGTGGGCTCAGGAATATTCCCCTTGATCTTTTTCTGCTTCGTAATATCTGCAGCTACCTCTGCCTTCTCGCCTGGTCCCAGTCTAGGCTTCTCTGTAGTTACTAGATCTTTTTTTTTTTTTTTCGAGATATCTTTCCGCCACTTTTGGTTACCCCGTACCAGTAAGTGGCTTCTTGCATCAGGTTTTTTTGTTCAACTGGAATTAAGTGGACAAGTGCAGCCAACCCAAGTGTGAAGGCATTCACAGTCCGTCTGAACAGACCACGAAACATTTCCCCTCAGCCGATGCAAACGTCCAGCATAGGGTATCATGCAGGAAACAAAAAAAAAACAATAACTTTTGGCGAGAGTGTCCTACGTTCTCGAATGCTGTCCTGGCACTGCAAAAGAAACAATAATGCACGCTCAAGCAAAAAAGGGGTGAATACAGGCTCACTTAAGTCCCAACTGTGACCCAAGTATATGAGAATGAGAATTTCTACTCTCATGCCGAGTAAGTGTATTGGGAGGAAAGATCCTCACCTGTATGGGGGTAGTCGGTTTTTATTTTCTGAGCACTGTGGGTGTCTCATGGTGGGCCGCGTTCCACACTCAACCGCAAATCAATGCGGTGCAGGTTCGGATCCCTATGCTTCTTTTAACAAAGGAAATAGTTGTGTGTTTACAGGCTCAATTCCCTTGCCTTCCTTTGCCTTCATACAGAACTAGGCAAGAGAACCGTTGGTATGTGCCTGTCGAGGGTGGGGGGAGAGCGGTTGTTATTATTGTCCGGGGCACGACTGCCCATTCTCCACGTATCACGGTGGTGGGGTCGGCGAATATATTTCGGTGTCATATATTTCCCACTGAGAAATAAATGCAGTAAGATATTTCATGACCAACGTATCTCAACTTCTAGCTCGAATCCAACAAAGCCAACATCCAGGCGTTGACGTATTTCCAGCTATAGAGATGCGAGGTCAAAATCATACGTAGGTATTGTTGGATACCAAGTTTATAGATATGTTGCATATCATTTGGGTTCAGTATCTATTCTTGCTGGTGGGGTGTCCTGAGATTGGGGGCTTTGCCTCGAGTTCTATCATTGTACCGGGTTCATCTTGGGAAAATTCGACTACCGTAGGGGCCGGTTTTTGGAGAATTCAGAAAACAACAGGCTCTACTCCATCTAGTTTCATATTAGTAATGCGGCGAGAGAGTCTCACACTTTGCAGGAGATAAGAACAGAATAAGATATATTGACACAAATGTTTTCGTATACGTGTATGTACACCATTACTATACCATGATAGGGATAGATTCGTATATGCTTCAGCTCAGGTGGGACTAAAACAAATCTGAAATCCCTCTGGCATGTTTAGGCTAGCAGATGAGTCAAGCATCTATGGAACAGCAAACAGAAAAAAAAAAAAAAAGGCTCTACCTTCTTAGAAATTCTCACGCCTGGATGCACGTCGGTTCTGCTCCTTCTGTGCGGCCTCTTGCTGCTCCTTCTCTCGCTGTCTCTTGTTGGATGGTAGCTTCTCGATGCCAGTTGCGGGAGGCGCTGGAGGGGGTGCTTCGGGTTCTGCGTCTATGGCTGGGACTGGGTACTTTGTCTTCCAACCATCCCTATTGCTAGCAACAAAGTCGGTAGGCCTTTGCTCGCTTGCCCTAAACCACTTGAAATAGTTGTCTCCCCCGCCGCCGCCTCCAGCCTTGGGTTGATCGGCGCTGGTACCGGCAGTGTCTTCAGTGGCGACTTCAGTGACGCCCGGTTGGGAATTAGGCCTCTTTGCAGTCGCCTGGTTCTTTGTCCTGGGGGCATTGTTGATCTTGCGGTACTGAGAAGGGCCAGGGCCATCTCTTGGTGCACCAGCAGTTTGGACAGCATCTTTGGCCGCACGCTCGGAACCCTGGACATCATAGTCATAGTCGTCATCTTCTGATACAGGGCCCTGCTTACGGAACTTGGACCCGTTGGGTTTCGCTCCAGCTTGTTTACGGGATCTAGAGCCGCCGCTGCGGTCCTTTGGCCCACCCTGAGAGATATTCGGAGAAATTTGTGGTTGCTTCTTGGGGGCAGGCCACACGGTTTCTTCCTCATCACCATCATCCTGAGAAGGTTGAGGTACAAACTTAGGCCCGCCCAGCTTCTCGGCCTTCTTGTTTTGGAACTTTGATGGGCCGGGCGAGGGAAGCTTTGGCTTTCCAGGCTTAGGCTTCTGCTTCTTTTGACCACTACCAGGCCTTGAGGTCTGGGGGCTCTGCTGATTTGCGCCTTCATCCTCTTCTGGGGCTGGCGCTTGCTTCTTGGAAGAAGGTCGCTGCGGTTGCTTCTTCTCGGGTTGCTGCTTGGGAGGCTTGCCTTGGGGTTGCTTCTTCTCGGGTTGCTGCTTGGGAGGCTTGCCTGGGGCTTGGGGCCTCTCGGGTGGCTGCTTGAGAGACGAGCCTTGAGGTTGAGGCTTCTTGCCACTCTTCCGAGGGGCCGGGCGGACCTCGATTTCCTCTTCCTCTTCCTCATCCTCTTCCTCTTCCTCTTCCTCTTGGATTGGTAGTCTTGGAGAAGGCCGTTTTGGGGCAGCAGGCTTCCGTTGTTGGGGCTGGTTTTGCTGGGGTGCCAGCTTATTCCTCTTTAATTCAAGTATTGAATCTGCCACCTTGCCGTTGTTGCTGTTTCGGTAGATTTCTGGGGCAGGACTATTGTCTTTGACATTGATAGTGGGCTTTGGAGTCTTTGGAGTAGGGGCTTTGGTCTTTTGCTGAGGAGCAGGGGCTTTGGTCTTTTGCTTGGGAGCAGGGGACTTGGTCTTTTGCTGAGGGGCAGGGGCTTTGGTCTTTTGGTGAGGAGCATTGGGGGCTGTCTGAATTCTTAGAATAGGCTCCTCATCCTCCTCCTCCTCTTCCACTGGGTCTTGGGGGCCTAGATTTTTCCTCATACGCTCGATCTTTGCCGGGTCGATAGTCTTGCCGCCACGGGGAAGAAGTCCCTGGTTCTCATGAGTATCAATGCTTGATAACGAATTCATGAAATTTGGAAACTTACATCACGTTTTGCGAGAGTATTGCTTTTCTCGATGTCCCTAAAACTTTTGTAAGCAAATGACCTCAAGAAAAGTGGAGGGACATAACAAACCCGTGGGGGAATGCAGAAGCAACAGCCAAGCCAACAAAAATGGACCAAAGGGCAGCCTTGAAGTGGACCATCTTGGTGAACTGGTAATTGTCGTTGATATGTAGAAGAAAAAAGAAAAAAAGAAAAAAAAAAAAAAAAAAAAAACCTAAGGAATGGATCGACAGCTCTATCAGGGACAGAGGGTCAAAAGGAAAGTAGTTCATGGAGGATATATATACCCACCGTATGGAAGTTAATCCTAGACACATGGTGTTATATTACTGTGTGAAAGCTCAAGAGCTGCGCATCTCGGGCCGGAAATCGGCATCCCGTGTCACAGCTGAAGGTTTCCGGCTTTAAAGCTTGAGGTAGAAGTACTGAAGTCATGAGTGAAAGTCTAGTAATGAGTAAAAGTCTAGCAAGTAATGGTGAAAGTCTAGTAGAATCGTATTGCCATCCAGAACCCGCTTGTGATATACGATGCATTCAGGCACGAGACTATGCATTCGGTAAATGCTGAGTGAATGGTAGTCATGGTAGTCCTGAATCAACCAATTTGAACTCCGGACATATGACATGAAGAGTGTATATAGATGTCCGTGTTATGACGTTATGACTATGACGTTCATGCTTGGCGAGGTGTAAGGTACATCCTGACTTTGTTAACGAGCACTCCACCAACATTCCACAACGAGAGAACATGGCGGCCGACACAAATTCCTCACCGACGCCCGACTCTCTCATCGACGCAGAAAAGGCCATCCAATATTGGAATGAAGTTCCAACCTCCTTAGCAGGAATCATGGGAGGATTCCCTCAGGTAAGTGCGCAATTTCCCGTTACTTTTCGTTGTGCGATCGTGATGCTTTTTGACGACAGAATTTGTAGATCAGCCGAATTGACATTCAATCCTCCACAAACCTTCTCACGAAACTCGGCTTCCGACGAGATCCTAAGGATACTCCGGTCCGGGGCGCCGATTGCGGTGCTGGGTATGCCAGCTCACCTAATTGCACCAATATATACTTCGGCTTCGGCTTCGGCGGCTCGGCTAACCTTCCACGTGGGTTAGAATTGGCCGGATAACCAAAGACCTTCTTTCCCGCTTCTGCTCAACTGTCGACATCATCGAGCCAGTGGAAAAGTTCACAAACGCAATTACCGCCGGGAAAGACTTTGCATCATTACGGGACGCCGGGAAGATCGGGGATGTGTATAATGTCGGCCTAGAGCACTGGACGCCGAAGGAAGGGGCCTACGAGTTGATTTGGAAGTACGTCACATTCCAAAATCTAAATCTGGCACCCTCTCACCACATGCTAATCCCTTTCACAGCCAATGGTGTGTTGGTCATCTCCGAGACGCTGACCTAGTCGCCTACCTCCGCCGCTGTGCTGCAGGCATCTCCGCCCCGAATGGCCTTATCATCGTCAAAGAGAACCTAGCATCTGGCGCAGAAGACATCTTTGACGACCAAGACAACAGCGTTACTCGCACAGAGGCGAAATTCAAGAAGCTATTCAAGGAGGCAGGGCTTGTAATTGTAAAGGAGGAAATACAAAGAGGGTTCCCGTCGAGCTTGGGACTGTTTAAGGTCAAGACTTTTGCACTGAGGCCGGAGAGCTGGGCTGCGGGTGGGGCAAGCAAGTAAGGGTCGTGCAAATAGACTAGGGATGTTCACAAATCATACGTAACTTCAGGGTAATGCAAGGATTTCATTTTAAGATCATCAGGCTTTTACAAGTATCGGTAGCTACTATATAAACAGTTCCCGCAGTAATACACAGATCACGGCTAGTAATTCACATTGCCTTCCTTCCCTATAAAGTGCCATCCGTCCAATACAGAAGGAAAAAAAATATTAAAAAAATAAATTAAAAAAAAACAGGTCGGTACTAGAAAGACTCGAACTTTCAACCTCCCGGTATGCCAACTTGGATATTAACAGCCGGACGCGCTAACCAATTGCGCCATAGAACCAGGTGATTGAGTGGAAGGGGCAAATGATGAGCATGATTGAGATTGGTAGATCAGTTGACGTTACCCTGAAGTCTATGGTACCTGTGAGGTGGCCATTCCATCAAAAAAGTTATAGATTAATTAACATTATGATATATATTGCACTATATATCAACTCATAACGCCCATTGCAATGCAATTATAAACCCAATACACAGCTCTACAGAGCTTCTTCACTTCATCTTACCGACACCTTGCCCTCCCCGCCATGGCCACTCTCATCACCTTTTTCAACTTCCAGAACCCTCCACATTATGTCCCTCTTCCACTCCAGATACCCCATTTTCCTCTTCTCACTCAAATAATCCACTCTATCCTGCAACATCCTCCCGATCCCCGCCCCCCCACTATGATCTGCATTCCCCCTACTCCCAGTCCCTCCATTCCTCCTCACCCCACTGGTATTAGCCCTCTGTCGGCCCAGTTGTACTTCATCTGGATCAACCCAGGGCTCGAATTCTGTCGCTTCATCGGCTGTCTGTACTGGGGGGAGATCATTTGATGGATGAGGGGGAGACCAGACCGGTACGGTGCCGAGCCAGGCTAGGGCTTTTGTGTCTGCCATGAGGGCGTTGAGGGCTTCGTCTACGTCGTTGGAAACGATTTTAACTCTTACGGGTCCATCGCGGGGGACTGTAGATAAGTCTTTCCTTGAAAAAGTCTTGGATTTAGCTAGAGTGCTGAATGGTAAAGATACTGCCAGCCCGGTAGCACATCCCCAGTCGGAACTGACTTCTTCAAGGGCAATACACAATTGGGCCCGCTGCCGGGTATATACTTCCCCCGTGATTTCTTTCCCCGAGAGCTTCGATGCCGTGAGGATGTATATCGCGGAGAGGGTCGCCATTGTGTTGATTGTGTCTAGTGGGGTCGTTGGGGGTGATAGCTCAATGGCTTTTGAAGCGGCAAGGACATGTTTGTACACGGTAGCTGCTGGGGGGGAAACGGTATTCGAGGCAGGTGCAAGGATCTGGTGGGTGCAAACCCGGACGACCAGGTCGGAGATTGGGTCTGAAGAGGGGGGACGGGGGCTTGTTTTAACGTGGGGCCGCGCTGGGCGGTACGGGGGGTACGGGGAGCTGCAGGAGGAGGCTTTTTGGTGGGGCTTGGTGGGCGGGGGCCGGAGGAGGGGAGAGCGTTGGAGAATTGGGTGTGGAGGAGGTTGTATTGGCGTTTTGGGAGGGGCGGTCGGGGTTCGACGGGGGAAGGTCGAGAGGGACACGTAGTCTGCACCAAGAAAATCAGCGACCATGCGAAGTATGAGTGGAAGGAGGGGACAATAGCGCACCGCTCACAAGCGATATGCGCGCATAGATACGCCCTGGCACTCTCCTCCTCCGGCTTCAGTGCACCCACTCTCTGCCGCGAGAGCGCGAGTAGGGAAGCAGCCATATTCACCAGCTCGGGTGGGATGGGCCCCGTAAGCGTCGGGATGAGCCCCGTCAGAGTCGTTTCAAGGGATCTGTTCATCTCTGCTCTCCTTGTCGGTTTGTAGAATTTGTGACAGTCGTTTGTTTACCTGACGATTGAAGGCACCTCTGGTCTCACATAATAGCTTGACCTGCCGCGCCAAGACTCAATGTCTTGGCGGGCGTACGACACCACGTTGCCTTTAGAGCTTTGAGCATCGCGGGTTCCGGAATTCAGTGCACGAAATTGCAATTGTCCATCGTAACATCACCCCAGGAAGCTTACCGGTAAAGAACCTATACTCCGTGGCTTTTCAGGATGCGGTGGGGAATAATAGCTACGGCGGTTGCCGGTTTGGCAGCGGTTGTTGCAGCTCAGGATGCTGGGGAGAAGCAGGAGAGGCTGAAGTGGAATATCTCTGGGGCCAAACTGGTGACGGCAAAGAAGGGGGATACGGCTCCAAGTGTGTCTGAAGAGTATGTTATTCATACACTTTCTCCCTCGTTTTATACATGCGTTGTCAATTCCCGGAGATGACGACGCTGGCTAACCACCGCTCTTGTCCCACAGATTCACCGTCGACAAACCCGTTTCAACCCCAATAACTCTCTCTTCCGGGGAAGTCCTCCGATTGTCAATGACATTCCAAGCTGGTAATGAAGTCGGTGTTCCTCACCAAGCATACCTCTTTGTGCAACAAGCCGATACCGGCATCGAGACGTTCTTCCCCTTCGACGTCGCCCCAACAACTGCTAAGGCTAAGCTTGAAATCGTATGTCCCTCCCCAATGCCTCTTTCAGCCCTGCTCAATATTCAGGGAACCAGCTAACCCCCTACAGACCCATAAGGACCTCCCCCCATCCTTCATTGCCTCCTCCTCCCCCCTAACACTTACCATGGCCATCGGCGACTTCACCGAAAACATCAAATCCATCTTCATTCTCGTCGCCCAAGTCCAGCTCAACTTTGACAGCATGATCATCTCCGCTGCAAAGAGGTCTCTTGGAGAGTCTCCCGTCATCTATGCACCCCTTCCCGAACTCCGACACACATTCCGTCCGGATCCAAAGAACCCGCCAAAGATCCTCACCCTTATTTTTCTCGGAGCTATAGGTGCGGCGTTGGTGGGGTTGTTTGGTGCTGTGAGTTATCCTACGTCTCGTACGTAGATGGGTATATGCTAATTACTACTATTATACCCAGTGGGCCAGCCTCGGAGCGAATCTCTCCGCCCTGCCGAAAGCGCTTAGCGCAGCGCCATTGTCTCATCCGACTTTCCTTGCGAGTGTGCTGGCGCTGGAGGGGATCTTCGTGATGTACTACTTGAAGTGGAATTTGTTCCAGACTTTGACTGCGGCGATTATTGTTGGTCCAGTTGCGTTCTACAGCGGGAGTAGGACATTGAGAGAGGTTAGGGCAAGGAGACTTAATGGGGAGCGCTAAAGGGTATTTAGAAAGTGACATTGATACCCGAGGAGTATAGTATTTAGATAGAAAGTGATATAGATACCCGAGTATGGACCGTGAGAAGGAAAGAAGAAAAATTAGTCCCTACAATAGTGGAGCAGATAGCAGATAGCAGATAGCAAAATTCTATTAGGTATTTCGGATAATTGTTTGTACGAAGCAGTAATTCATTATATTTATGCATTCTTCAAACCCATTCTGGAGGCCGGTCAGACTCATTACCCTGAACTTCCGCTAGATCACATTGCTCTTGCTCCACCCCCCCCAAAAAAATCCCCCTCCCTAAACCGCAAAAAAAAAAAAAAGAAAAGAAAAGGGAAAACCAAAATCGACGCAAGCTCTACAAACCCATAACGTTGTATATTCCCTTTTAGAAACAACAACGAAATAAAATAAAAAAATAAAATAAAAAGAAAAAGAAAAAGAGAAAAAAGAATACCCAATTTCCCATATCATATCCTTGAAAAAAAAAACTCCCAACCCCAATTTTTTGTTATATAGATAAAAAACACACACAAAACTCATACATAAGCAAGGGGAATTTAAAAAAAAAGAAAACACCATATCATATCTATTTTCAGCCCTCGGCTTCAAACCCCATCTCCTCCTCCACAATCCTCCCAAATACCTCACTTCCCGACCTCGGGAAGTGCTTGAACGTCGCCCCTTCAGCCTTCTTGATTGCTTCGGGGAGATTACTGAACCATGCAACATAGAAATTAGTCCCAATTCAACTCAGGCGGATAGAGAAGGAGGTTTGGAGTATGGCAGTCGTACTCTACCCTCCCTTCAATAAGGTACCCCTGCGCTTCTAACTCTCCAGCTAGCTCCTTCTGGTGGTTGTCCATTAGGTCCTCGTTCGGTACTACTACTAGCCGTTTTACGTGCCGTAGGGAGTCGAGGATGCAGCCCGACCCGGCGTGGCTGATGATGAGATCTGAGGTGGCTATTTCGGCGGACAGGTTGGGGGTGAAATCGAATGCGGTGATTTTGAGTGGGGAGGTGGTGGAGAGGTGTGCGAGGCTGGAGAGGAGGGATTGGCCGGAAGGGGTCCCGCCAAAGTTTGTGGGCGTGAGGCCGTGCTGGATGAGGAGGTGGGTGTAGCCGAGGGAGGAAAGGGTGCTAAGGAAGGCGGGGGTGAGGCACGCACTGATGAGGGCGGGGAAGGGCGCGGTGGCGCCGACGGTGATGAGCGCGGTTTTCGGGGGAAGGGACATGATGGGGTAGGTTTCTGGAGTTGGTGGAGATGGTGGAGATGGTGGAAATGGAGTTGAAGCAGGAACCGTAGCAGTCACCGTAGAGATGTGGGGGGAGATCGGGAGGCTCCGAAATGAATTGACAGTTGATGGCGAATGGCGGGGGCTCCCGGGACATCTTGGCGGGCTGCTCTCTTGTATGTGAGGTGGCATCTGGCGGGCTCAGTCAGGTACGGCACCGCCTCAATAAAAGCCCCACGGCCCCTTGAGCTCCCCTCGCACCCCTCCTCCCAGCTGCTGGGCTAGATACATCCTGCTGTGCTGTTATCGATACCCGGCACCCAAAACACCAAACACTGCTATCTCGAGACCAAACCCTCCCCAGGGGGATTCGGGGATCTGACTACAACTACTCCCCTATCTTCTCAAGCTCATATGTCCCCCCCCTCGGCCCCACCCAAACGACTCAAACACCTCTCCAACCACCTCACCTACACCAAAACCACAACCACCCACAACCCCTCCTCCTCCACCTCGCCTCCAGACCCATCCTACACCTTTATTGGGACGCCCCTCTCCCGCCACGCCTCACCCAATTTCAAACCCGCCGTCTCAACACACAACCCGTCCTCCTCCCCCGCCGCCGCAAGCACCACCTCACCAGCCTCCACAAGCACCATGGCCGCGCCAACCCGCCCCGCAATAACCTGCCACGTCCTCGACACGACGCTCGGCCGCCCCGGCTCCTCCATCCCCGTAACCCTCATGACCCTACCGTCCCTTTCCTCCTTCACAACACCTTTCACCACCTCTGCCCCCACAATCATCGCTACGGGACTCACCGACTCTGACGGCCGTGTCTCCACTTGGGACTTCGCCCCCGTCCCG